GACGGGGACGGTTCCCTCCTCGCCACCTTGTGCAGGTAGTGACCGAAGCAGCCGTGCCCGGTCAGCACCTGCACAAGGTGGTATGACAGTGGCCCGTGGGACCGGTTTACACACTCTACTAGGACAGGGCGGATCGCCTCTATGGTACGAGCGCCATAGGGGGGATCCGCCAAGCCCTCTTTCCACCGGTCCCGCATGCGCTGCGCCGCGAGGCGGCGCTCCCGCTCCACCTCTTGGGGAGCGGGTCGCTCGCCTCGGTCCCTCATTCCCCGCCGGTAGGTGCGGACCTCCGCCAGGACCTCGGCTTCGAGGTCCCACGGCGGAGTACCGGCGAGGACGCATGCGGCAGCGCAGGCCACCGTCCTGTACGCTCTGCACATTCGCAGGGCGACCACCCTCTGGGGCCTCCTCAGCAGCGCCTTTGTCGCCGCTGATATGGCCCCACTCCAAATGGGAGCCCCGTCTAAGGCCATACTCCGAGTCACCCCGGCGTATAGCCTTCTGCATGGGGCTCCCGGCCTCCCGAGGTTGGGCAGGAGCCTGCCCAACGCCGATGCGGCGCCCACTATTCGGGGAGCAAGTTGCCGGAAATGCTCCCCGAAGTTCCATCGCCGGTCCAGGACAAGTCCCAGATATTTCATCTGGGACTTGACCGGGACCGATACTCCCGCGATGGAGATGTGGGCGCCTGCCAGCACCGCCCAACCTCTACCCCTCCCGCCGAAGACGGCCACGTCCGTCTTCGGCACGGCGACCTCGAGCCCCAGCAGTTGTATTCGGCGGACCACTATGTCGGCCGCTACTGAGGCTCTTCGGGCCGCCTCCTGGAAGGTGGTCCCCCGGACAGCCACCAGCGTGTCATCGGCGTACGCGATGACCGCCGTCCGGGGGAGCAGCGCGCCCCTCAGCACCCAGTCATACCCCAGGTTCCACAGTAGTGGTCCTAATACGGACCCCTGGGGTACTCCGCACCTCATTGGGCGCTCGGCGCGCCTCCCTTCCCTCGTCTGGTAGAGCACCACCCTGCCTTCCAGGTAGTGCTCCACCAGACGGCTGAGGTACCTGGGGATGTTATGGTACCTCAGCGTCTCCCTGATAACGGCGAAGGGGAGAGTGCCGAAGGCGTTGGCTATGTCCAACGACACAGCCACCACGCCTTCCCCCTCGCCGTTACCCTCCTCCACGATGTGTCGCAGCGACTCCAGGGCGTCCAGAGTGGAGAGTCCAGCCCTGAACCCGTACTGCCGCTGCGACACATCGGGGCCTGTCCCCCTCAGGTGTTCGTTGATCCTGGAGGCGATGATTCGCTCCAGGATCTTGGCCACCTCGTCCAGCAGGACGAGGGGCCTGAACCCCGAGGGGGAGTCCATTCACTACCTGCATGGCAGTCCGCCGCGCAGGCAGGAGTCTGCTCATACACTATCCTGCGTATGGCCCACATATGGAGTCTCTGCAACTGGCTGCAATGCACTTTAATAGGGATAGGTATTGATTATTCGGAATAATCGGTGACTTCATACCGATTATTGCTAAAAAAATAAAACTATTTCATAAAAATATTTTATAAACTTGTTAAAATTTGGAAAAAAAACCGCTTTTAAATCCAAATGTTTATTTTATTTAGTCGATATTCGAAAAATGAGACTTGTGCGCGCAATATCGTGGCACCAGAAAGATGGTTTACATGAGCTAATCATAACATTTGTCTCCACCGCCTTTGAAAAATTTGTAATTAATTCTGGTGTCTTTGTCTATATTACTATATTGTTGTAATTTGTGTAATTTGAAATAAAGCGGGAAATGAGGGTTATGTTACGAGGTTCCTATTAATATGAAGATGTTATTCTAGAAACCCTGGTACTATTAGCTTAGACTTAATAGAGTATTGTCTAGCTCTCTCTATACCTACTTACTTTTTTTACTTTAGAAATCAGGTAAACAAAGAAGTAGGGTTTGTAAAGCGTAAAAGATGAAAGTGACGTTATAAAATTTGACTTACACAGCTAAAAAAATTCACCAACAAGAATATGAAGTAATGCGACCAATTAAAATATTTATATTTTGTCGATTAATCGATTTTTAAGGCCACGATTAATCGGTGCATCGATTGTTTTGTCAAAAAAAAATCGATGTTTTGTTGATCGATACCCATCCCTACACGATAATGAATATCCCCTTTTAATCCTTAAATTGGCAGTACCTTATCGCGATGATTTTATGAGACGTTTTTTAAATTATGTATGTTGCTAGAGATAAATAAAGACAACACATACGAAAATGAAAGAAATATATTATATCTCGACAGGTTTTTTTAATGTCACTTACCTATAAGTGACATTGCCGACTAGTCTACAAAATTGAGCGCAGCATGTACATCACATAAAACGTACATTGCCAGTTTAACTACTTAACGCAGTAATAAAAAGTAATATAAAATTATTAAAAAACATCAGGCTTATAACTTATTTAGAGCTCAAGTTACAATTTAGGAACCATGGAATATACAAATGCTACTCACAATTAACAAAATAAAAACTTAAAGCTTGCAACGAAACTTAACTACAATTAAAACAAAAGTTAACAAAACAATTACTTATGTTTGTGAAATAATAAGAAACATTTCTTTTTAATTGTGAAACAAAGTCTGTGTCTACATTTTGAACACATGACTATCGTCTTTCAGTTTTTACATAAACGGCATCGTCCCTGAGACGTGTAAATGGGAAAATGATCGAAACAATCAAGACGTGCCTCATTGACGGGACAAGGTATGAAAGGCTTGGCGATGGAATAAGACCCAGGATCAAGGGCCCCTCTTGGGAATTGAGATTTAGTGTTGATTTTGATGAGTGCAAGAACAGCCTGTATACGAAACTTTTTTAGGGACAATTTATTTTCGTATCCAAGTTATACACAATCACGGCGGTGTAATAGCGAGCTGTTATTGAGTGCAATATCCACAAGCTGGGCAAAGATTGACATATACCATCGTATGTAAAACCCCCTAAGTCTGCCTCTGATTCTTCGAAATCACTAATATCTTACGATATCAGTATTACTGATATTCCGAGATGTATCCGTGCCGATAAGGGACCACATTGAGCCACTTAGTCTGGCCTTATCATCCAACCTCAACTTTGGGCGATACATCGAGTGCTTGCCAAAAACTGCTTCCAGAAAACTAGGCATACTTTACAAGGTCAGGCGGTACTTCACCCTTGAACAGCTTTTAAATCTGTATAAAGCACAAGTTCGATCGTGTATGAAGTACTGCTTCCACCTTTGCAACGGCTCTGCCCATTACCAGTTAGCTACCTTGGACTCAGTGGAGCGAAAAGAAAAGAGACTTATTAACGAACAACAATTCTCTTGTGGAGTCGAAGCTAGAAAATCTCGACCATCGCAGAAAAGTAGCCTGCTTGTCGGTTTTCTATCGGATACATTTCGGGGAGTGTGCGCAGGAAGTTTTCAATTTAGTTCCACCCTCACCGTTCCTCCTTCGATCGACTAGAAGGTCCAGAGCACTCCACTCTTATGTCGTTAATTTTCCACCCATTCGCACTAAGCGCTTTGCTTCCTCCTTTCTGATGAGTACGGCAAAGGATTGGAATGCTCTGCGGCATCTGTATTTCCCGAAAAGTACAATTTGGTGCTATTCAAGCCTCGAGTGAATAGGCATTTTTTTAGGCGAACGTGTCCCATCGTCGGTCACATCGCCGCTTAACATCAGGTGAGATTGTGTGTCTATTATATATTGAAAACAAATATCCTGAATTAGGTCATAAATAGCAGGCGAAATTCTTCTCACCGGTGAAGAAGTGTGAGAGCCAGTGTAGTTATTTTTGAAGTACTCACGTTTCTCTCCTCATCATCTTCAGATTCAATCTACGAATCTTTAGAATCAGAAGGAGGTAATAGCGCAATAATTTGCTTAGACCTCCAACCTTTCCTCGCCATATTACTGAAATGAACATCGTCAATTCTAAATGTTATATTTTGAAAATGTGATACATATCTATATTATACATGATATAATGTAAATAGATAATTTAAATTCTACTAGTAACGAACAGGGACTGTTCGTCACAAATGACAAATATAAGCAATCATACTTTGTGGGACTTATATGCGAAGTCCGTTACAAGTGACAAACATAAAAGTTACTCCATTAAAAAACGTTGAACACTATCGATTTATCATTATTCCAACTAAATTAAACATTAAAAGAATATAACACAAGGAAATACTTACCTAATAACAATATTTGTAACTAGTGCAAACTTAGGCCGCCGTTGCGCGTTGCAATATTTCAAATGATCGATACAATCTTAGGGTCATATTCTAGAACTCTACTCAATGCTCAAGTCAGGACTTGAGTATGATTCAAAGCACTAGAAATCATACTTAAGTCCTTGCCATTAGAGTCGTATTTCCAGTGCTTGAAATCATACTCAAGTATGCTCAAGTTCTGACCTGAACATTGAGTGCAATTCTGAAATATGACCCTAAGATTGTATCGATCATTTGAAATATTGCAACGGCCTGCCAGTCCTGGACTTGAGCATTGAGTAGAGTTCTGGAATACGACCATTAGAGGATGAAAAAAATTAGGATACAATGCATCTATCGACCGAGATAACGATTCAAATGCGCGAGTGCGAAAAGGATAGCCTATTGGACGTGACGTACCACGTGACAGACGCAAGCGTCACCTCAAATAACACTTGATGCGTTTTTATATAATTTTATATATTGAAATTTAGAAACAGTTGGATTAGGAACGTTGAGAAAGTGTGATAAACGGGATGACGATATGTCTGTGGGATCACGTATGGAACTAGAGCAAACAAACAAACAAAAAAAAACATTAAACAAGCTGGGTAGTTAAAATTGCCATAAGAAAAAATAACAACTCCAGGGAATTTCTAGCAAAAAAAGTACAAATGTCATTGTCATTTTGACTTTGACTATCGCTACCAAAGTGTCAAACACGTTAGCCGTGTGTTAGACCGCATCCCTCAAGTGAATTTTATTAAAAATTTCATCAACAAGTGGTCTGTAATGGACATAAATGCATAAAATTGCTAAGTTGAAAGTGTATTATGTATAAACACTTACTAAAGTTTCAGGAACAAAGTAGTAAGCCTAAAAAATTTGATTACAATTAGTGCGTTTGCCGCATTCATTACCTACCATCATTGAGTATCTATTTAATTAAAGGTTACTAGATATTTATAAGCAGGTACTAATGTCCGAGAAAAAATAGAACACGCTCTGGTATTTGGCTTCGATTTCAATGTTGACCCATATTTCTATTATTACAATTTGCAGGCGTCAGGCATTATGGAGAACCAAGTTCGGTGTTATAGTGATATTTCTGCAGAAGCGTTCAACATTGAAAAAATTATCACGGACACTTCTTCAGATCAGGTAGGTCATGTCTTTCAAGTAAAGGTGGATGTAAGGTTACGCCCTTTGATACACCTGAACTAGGTATATTAAAAAATGTCAACAATTTTATTGATTACTGTTAATGAATCAATAAACTCACTGTCATGTTCATATTTCTTTTTAAATTATTATTTAAACATCTAGGCTTTTTTCTCCTCCACAGGTGGATGTAGAGACCATGATTATGAAAATATATGCTCAATTTGAAAATAAAGCTGCTAATGATCCAGACCTACCAATATTGAACAGACAAGTGCACTGTAGTTTGCTCAAGAGTTGGCTCAAATCTCTACCAAAAAGTTATGAATGCTTGGATGCTAGTAGACCATGGCTAGTGTATTGGATACTTAACTCATTAAGTATATTAGACGATATGCCCGACAAAGTGATATTATCACATATTGTACAGTTTTTATCACATTGCCAACATGATGACGGAGGCTATGGTGGAGGACCAATGCAGTATTCTCACCTTGGAACAACTTATGCTGCTGTAAATGCCCTTAGCATCATTGGTACCGATGAAGCTTATGATTCCATTGACAGAAGCTCATTGCAGAAGTTTTTATGGACAGTTAGAGATGTAGATGGTGGTTTTGCACTTCATAAAGGTGGAGAAAAGGATATCAGAGGAGCATATTGTGCTGCGAGTGTTGCTAAACTAACAAATACTTATACAGATGCTCTGTTTGATAAAACTGGAGAATGGATTATTGGCTGTCAGACATATGAAGGAGGTTTTGCCGGCACACATGGCATGGAAGCTCACGGTGGCTATGCTTTTTGTGGAATTGCAGCACTAGCTCTTATAAATAAGACTCACTTGTGCGACATAGATAGTCTATTGAGATGGTGTGTAAATCGACAGATGAAACTTGAGGGTGGTTTCCAAGGGAGAACAAATAAACTTGTTGATGGCTGCTATTCGTTTTGGCAAGGCGCTGCTTTGCCTGTGATTAGTGCTATCCTTTCACAAGGTACAGTTATTGTATGATTACTTGTTTTAGTACTTAAATATATAACATTTTAGAAAAAATCATGTAGTAAAAAATCTACAAAAGTTGATTTACACATTTTATAGAAGCAAATTTAGTAAACTGCAATTTTAAAGAAAGTTACAGCACAAGACAAATTTATATAACTGATGTTTGAATGTTTTTTTTATTCAGAAAACCAGGAATTAATAGAAACAGTATTATTTAACCAAGGTGCCTTACAAGAGTATATAATAATTTGCTGTCAAAGTCCTGATGGTGGACTTATTGATAAACCTGGCAAGTAAGTGATGTTGCTTATATTTTAAAATTTATTTTGTAGTTAATAACATCATATTACTACTAAATAGTATTGCAAATTTTTACCACTCTCATCATAGCATAGGCTGTAAACAAGCAAAGCGATTGCAGCACTGAATAACTACTAACAACCACTATTTTATTTCAAATTTATTTTTAATATATTATTTATGTTCATTTTTGTTAACAGACCTAGAGATATCTACCACACTTGTTATACACTGAGTGGGCTGTCAGTGGCGCAGCATGGTACAGGCGCTGGGGATGCGTTTGTGATAGGCACGCCTCGCAATGAAGTCAACCGAGTCCATCCACTTCATAATATAGCTCCTCACCTCGTTTACAATGCTGTACATTACTTCATAAGACATCCTCCCCCAGTTAAAGATAAAAACTAGCTACAAAGGTCTTATTTACTATCTTCAACACATCTAATGATGTTACACTTTTGAAATCCTCACGTCAAGCCTGGGTGTGGCACAGTTTCCATAATAATGTCCAAAACATACATACCATAAAAATCGACAGTTTACTATGTGTAACATTAGCTATATGTACATAATGTACAAATAAAAAATAATTTATTTATTTATGGTAAGTACATATTATTTAATTGTGATTATGTGTTAATATCGTACCAAACTGTATAAAGTGCTTTATATTATATATTATTAAATGAATGTTTGCAGGGTTGAGCAAAATGTAATTTTAACTCAGTACCTTATTTGTCAAGTCCATATGTTATTTGGCTACTATTAAAGCAAACTAATAGTTTGTAACAAGGACTGAAAGAGGTAGTTGTTACAGATGTATCCAGCGCATGCAAAATTGAATGTAAAATGCGTGCAGTGACGATAAATTTACAATGTTTTTTTTTCTTTGCTTGCCAGTATTGAAACCTCTACCAGAGAACAAAAAAGTAACGAGAACGGACGCTCTCCGCTCCTTCCTAGCATTAGATACCGCACCATGCCTCGCACATTGACGGTCACGTTGACTGAGCGACAACAAGGCTGTCGGCGGGCCGTTTTCGCGCTAAGACTGCGTTGATATTTGAATATAGTCTTCATTTATTCATTACGAAATTTGTACGTTAATATATAACATCATTTTACGTTATTATTTATAATAGTCATGAATTGTGCTGGTTAAGAGAGGAGTTTCTTTCGTTGTCTGTCAGTTGAAACGAAGTTTCAAACAAAACTTGTGTCTGAGACGCCATAACTTCGTGAGCTAGTTGACAAGGGTAAGGTCTCGAATTTTCAATCTGTATTGCCGATAAGTATTACGTAGTGAATATACCTAATTATTAACTAGGTAATGATAAACTTGGACACGCAATTTTAATTACTTTGGTCACTTTATTTAAACGTGTCTGACCAAAAGACAACATTATAAGTGCATTTAATAATTTTTTAAATAAATCTTCAATCGAGTTCTTAGGTTTTCGCGATTGTTACACATAGGAAATGAAACTATTTTTCCG